TGTGTGTGTGTGTGTGTATCACATCTTCTTTATCCATTCACCCATCGATGGACACTTAGGTTGTTTCCATATCTTGACTATTATAAAAAATGCCGCTGTGAACATGGGGTGCAGATATCTTTACAAGTTAGTGTTTTCATTTTCTTTGGATAAATACCCGGAAGTGGAGTTGCTGGATCATAGGGTAGTTCTATTTTTAATTTTTTGAAGAATCTTCATACTGTCTTCCATAGTGGCTGCACCAGTTTGCGTTCCCACCAAGAGTATATGAGGGCTCCCTTTTCTCCACATCCTTGCCAACACTCGTTATTTCTTATCTTCTTGAAAATATCCATTCTAATAGGTGTGAGGTGATATCTCATTCTGGTTTTGATTGGCATCTCCCCGATGATGAGTGATGTTGAGCATCTTGTCATGTACCCGTGTGTCTTTGGAAAAATGTCTATTTGGATCTCCTGCCCATTTTTTAATTGAATTATTTGGGTGGGGTTTTGCAATTGAGTTGTATGAGTTTTTTACATGTTTTGGGCGTTAGCCCCTTATCAGATACATGATTTGAAAATATTTTCTCCCATTCAGTGGGTTGCCTTTTCATTTTGATGATGGTTTCCTTTGTTGTGCAGAAACTTTTTACGTGATGTAATCCCACTTGTTTGTTTTTTGCTTTTGGTGTCAGATTCAAAAAATCATTGCCAAGACCAATGTCAAGAAGTTTACCACCTATGTTTTTTCCTAGGAGTTTCATGGTTTCAAGACTTTCATTCAAGTCTTCAATCCACATTGAGTTATTTTTTGTGTATGGTATAAAAAAGTGGTCCAGTTTCGTTCTTTGCATATGGCTGTCCAGTTTTCCCAACTCCATTTATTGAAGAGACTGTCTTGTCCCCATTGTATGTTCTTGGGTCCTTTGTCATAAATTAATTGACCATATATGTGTGGGTTAAATTCTGGAATCTCCATTGATGTACGTGTCTGTTTTTATGCCAATACCATAATGTTTTAATTACGATAGTTTTGTAATATAGCTTGAAATCAGGGAGGATGATACCTCCAACTTTGTCCTTCTTTCTCAAGATTGCTTTGGTTATTTGGGGTGTTTTTATAGTTCAATACAAATTATAGGATTGTTTGTTCTGTTTCTGGGAAAAATGCCATTGGGATTTTTATAGAGATTGCATTGAATCTATGTATTACCGTGGCTGATATGGACATTTTAACAATATTAATTCTTTCAATCCATGAGGATAGAATATCTTTCCATTTATTTGTGTCTTCTTCAATTTCTTTTCATTATTGTCTTATAGTTTTCAATATACAAGTCTATAACCTATTGGTTAAATTTATTCCTAGGTATTTCATTCTTTTTGATGCAATTGTAAATGGGCTTGTTCTTTTAATTTCTCTTTCTGATAGCTCATTATTAGTGTATAGAAATGCATCAGATTTTTGTGTATTGATTTTGTATCTTGCCACTTCACTGAATTTATTAGCTCTAACCATTTTTTGATGAAGTCTTCAGGGTTTTCTGTATATAAAACATATGCCACCTACAAAGAGTGACAGTTTTACTTCTTCCTTTCCAATTTGCCTGCCTTTCATTTCTTTTTCTTGCCTAATTATTCTGGCTAGGACTTCCAATACTATGTTGAATAAAAGTGGCAAGAGTGGACATCCTTATCTTGTTCCAAATTTTAGCGAAAAGGCTTTCAGCATTTCACTGTTGAGTATGATGTTAGTTGTGGGCTTGTCATATGCAGTCTTTGTTATGCATAGATACATTCCTTCTACACTTGCTTTGTTGAGAGTCTTTTAAATCATAAATAGATGTTGAACCTTATCCATTTCTTTTTCTGCATCTATTGAGATGATTATATCATTTTCCTCCTTTGTTTTGTTAATGTGATATATTACATTAACTGATTTGTGAATGTTTTTTTTTTTTAAAGATTTTATTTATTTATTTGAGAGAGAGAGAATGAGAGATAGAGAGCACGGGAGGGAAGAGGGCCAGAGGGAGAAGCAGACTCCCTGCTGAGCAGGGAGCCCGATGTGGGACTCGATCCCGGGACTCCAGGATCATGACCTGAGCCGAAGGCAGTCGCTTAACCAACTGAGCCACCCAGGCGCCCCTGATTTGTGAATGTTGAATCACCCTTGCATCTCTGGAATAAATCCCCCTTGATCATAGTGTATGATCCTTTTAATGTATGTTGAATTCAGTTTGCTAATATTTTCTTGAGGATTTTTGCATCCGTGTTCCTCAAGGATATTGGTTTGTAATTTTCTTTTCTTGTGCCATTCTTGTCCATTTTGGTATCAGAGTATTGCTGGCCTTGTAAAAAGAGTTTGAAAGAGTTCCTTACTCTTCTATTTTTTGGAAGAGTTTGACAAGGATTAGTATTAATTCTTCTTGGAATGTTTGGTAGAATTCGCCAGTGAAGACATTCGGTTCTGGACTTTTGTTTGTTGGGAAGGTTTCCATTACGGATTGAATCTCTCCTTACTCGCTATTGGTCTGTTCAGATTTTCTGTTTCATTGTGATTCAGTCTGGGTAGCTTTATGTTTCTAGGAATTTATCCATTTCTTCTAGGTCGTCAAATTTGTTAACACATAATTGTTCATAGTAGTTTCTTAAGATCCTTTGATTTCTGTGGTAAGGTTGTAGCATCTCCTCTTTCATTTCTGATTTTATTTATTTAAGTCCTCTTTATTTTTTATTTTTTTCGTCTTTATTTTTTTCTTGGTGAGTCTAGCTAAAGGTTCGTCAATTTATTTTTGTTTTATCCTCAAAGAACTGGCTCTTAGTTGATCTTTCCCATTGTCTTTTTAGTCTCTTATTTATTTCTGCTTTAATCTTTGTTGTTTCCTTTCTTCTACTAACTCTGGGTTTCACTTTTTCTAGTTCCTTGTATAACAGTAGGTTATTTATTTGAGACTTTTCTTGTTTCTTGAGGTAGGCATTTATTGCTATTAACTGCTCTCTTATACCTGCTTTTGCTGCTTTCCATTTATTTTAGTATGTTATATTTCCATTTTCATTTATCTCAAGGCATTTTTTAAAATTTCTCCTTTTATTTCTTCTTTGACGCATTGGTTGTTCCATGGCATATTGTTTAATCTCCACATATTTGTGAATTTTCCAGTTTTATTCATGTTAATTTCTAGTTTCCTGTGATTGTGGTCAGAAAGATGTGTGATATGATTTTAGTCTTCTAAAATGTATTAAGACTTGTTTTCTGACCCAGCACATGATCTATCCTAGAAAATGTTCCATGTGCATTTGGGAAGAATGTCTATTCTGTTGCTTTGGGGTGGAATGTTCTATAAATATCTAAGTCTATCAGGCTTAATGTGCACTTAAAGCTGATGTTTCCTTATTGATTTTCTGTCTGGAAAACCTAATCCATTTATGTGAGTAGGGTATTAAAGTCCCCTACTATTATTGTATTGCTGTCTATTTCTCCCTTTAGGTCTGTTAATATTTGCTTTATATATTTAGGTACTTCTGTGTTGGGTACATAAATATTTACAAATGTTATATCTTCTTATTGGATTGACCTCTTTATCATTATGTAATGCCCTTCTTTCTCTTACTACTGCTTTTATTTTAAAGTATATTTTGTCAGGTGTAAGTATAACTACTCTGGCTTTCTTTTGGTTTCCATAGAATATCTTTTTTCACCCCTTTATCTTCAGCCTACATGTGTCCTTACATCTGAAGTGAGTCTCTTGTAGGTAGCATATAAATGTGTCTTTTTTGTTTTAAATCCATTCAGCCACTCTATGTCTTTTGATTGGAGAATTTAGTCCATTTACATTTAAAGTAATTATTGACAGGTACATGCTTATTGACATTTTGTTCACTGGTTTCTGATTGTTTTTGGAGTTCTTCTTTGTTCTTCTTACTCTCTTCCTTTGTGGTTTGATGACTTCCTTAAGTGGGATGTTTATATTCCTTTCTCATTATCTTTTGTGTATTTCCTATAGATTTTTGCTTTTTGGTTACCATGAGGCTTACATATAGAAACTTATATCTATAATCGTCTACTTTAAGTTGATAACAACTTAAGTTTGATCCCATTGTAAGCTCATCATTATTATTCTCCCTACCCCAGTGTTTTATGTTTTACATCTTTTTTTATGTACCCCTTAACTAATTGCTGTAATCATACTTATTTTTACTACTTTTGTCTTTTAACCTTCATACTAGCTTTATGAGTGATTAAAGTGGATTAAGTGGGTATTTTTCTGAAAGGAAACATGGACTAAGCCCTATGTGGTCACAGTCGTGCTTGCGTGCATGTGTGCGTGTGTGTATATAGGTTTGGACATACTGATGTTAGCCCAAATGGGTATAGCTGGCATCATTTCACCTTGAAATGGTGTTCACAGAAGGAGGGTGAAGAGTACCTTCATTTTTTCTGAGTCCTGGCAGGCAATGGCCATCCTCATGTGGATGTTGCCCAGAGCCCTGGGTCTGGACTTGGCTGTGGGAAGGGCGGTGGGAGAAATGACATAGGAGAAAGCCTTAATGCAGCACCCAAACGGAATTTCCTCCCCTGCTAGAAGTTAGATCCAATTCACACCCTCGCGCAGCTTGAAGGCTGGCGCTGGCTCTGTTTGGTAACATCACAGCAAACGGCTGCTTCGTTGCTATTTTGGTTCTTGCCACTGCAGCTTCTTTCTGCACCTTTCAAGAAGTGTTCCTTCCTACTGGAAGACTGGGGTGCCAAGCTCCCCCAGCTCCTTCCCATTTTGGTAAATTAAGGAACAAATGGTGCCAAATTGTCCTCGTCTCTTTCACAAGATTATTCGTAACCAGCTTATTTTCTTTCCCTCTATTGAGTGAACGCATTAAAACTAAAATTAAATCATTACCCGAAGCACAGACTACGATCCTTTTCATAATTACATCCTCTTAATTGGCATCTGAGAGCCCAGCTCATTTTAATGTTTGCAGGAAAATGTCTCAGACACGTTTAATTTTTTTTTTTTTTAGGTTTAAAGGTCAACAAGAATATCTTACCTTAATTTGACAAGTGTGTAAGAAATAAGGTAAGACCAGTTTATGTTCTGGTAATGCACAAAGAAATCTATAAATCAAGCTGGGCGAATATTAGATGATGCCATATCGGAACCATCTGCCTTCATTCTCAAAAGAATCGATACCACAAAGAACGCACCGAAGATATAGTGATTTATGCCCTTGTGTCAGAGGAGAAATATTGGCCATTTTTCGAGTCACTTCATATGATCCTAAAACAACAGGGCCTGAGGGAAAGAATGAGAGTGACCATAACCCCACGCGTGTCGAGGAGCAAATCTGCTGCTTGGTGTTTGATTATCTCCGCTTGAGAAAGGGTGAGTCTGAGGTCCCTTCATGCCCTTGACTCTGCCGCCTCTGCTATTGTGTGTGGGAAGGCTGCCATGAGCGTTGAGGTGGCGTGGAAGGGAATTAACTGAATTGCATCTGGGTGATTGTTGCCAGGGGATGGAGGCTTAGAGCTTGGGGACCCTGGGTTTTCCATGTTAGCACGCTGCTTCAAACCCTGCCTTCCTTTTGAGAGCCTTCCCTGGTCTCCTTCATCACTGGCCTGGGAGGACATATAGCCTCCAGGAACTCCACCTTCTGGTATATTGGATGTTGGGGCCGGGTTCCCACCAAGATGTCTGCAAGGGGAACAGGGTGCTGTGGCTCTCGGTGGTGGGAAGAAAAGTCTCCGAGCAATTAGGGCTTGGAAAAACAAGTGACGTTGTCTTAACCACCTTCCCCAGAGGTGCTGGTCGACAGCAGGACTTCTCCAGGGAGACAGAGGAGGAGGAACAGGTCAGGTGAGCCTCAGGCAGGTGTATCCATCTCTGGCGAAGGAGAGGAGCCTTTATAAGGCTTGAAAAAGAACACTTCATGATTGGAGACATTTCCTTGCAGGAGGGGTGGTTCAAAGCATAAAAGTTTATTCTCATACTCCAGCTACAAGAAAACAAAGCTTTTCACAATTTTCCTGTTGGTTGGCTTCTGCAGAATGTCAAAGAAAAGAGAGTTGGCAGTGTCGCTCTCTGACACCCATGGTAGGTACATTGTGGACTGCCATTGTGTTTGCGTTGCCACATGTCCATGTCACGAACATCAGAAGCGGTTCCTGTTTTACCGTGAGGATGGGCTTTGAGGGAGTGTTTGATTTTTCTGTTTACTACAGAGCAGCCCAGAAGAGGGACTGTGAGCCTCTTACACCTCCGGTTTTATCCTTTCCAAGAGGCAAAGTTGGTCCTAACACTACAAGCTGGAAATCAAAGTCGGATCATTTCCATTGCCACAGGCACCAGTACACTGTGCTCATGACTTTTTTTGTGTGAAACAAACCCACAGACACATCATGCTTCTTGGAGCCTGGGCATGGCTAGATGCCTGGCCTGCCACACCACCCTCTGGCCGCCGGCCATGGAGGTCACATTGCCGTCTGTAGACCAAAATCGAGCACCAGGACTCCTGATTTTGCTTTTTTGTCTCTTTTGGGGTAGCTGATGATACTCGAGGCTCAGATCAAGGGCAGTTTATATCTATTGCAAAGATGGGGCACACCTTCCTTGAGGTGTTGGCAAACTCTGGGCAGGGATGCCAAACCGCCCCCATTCCTTAAATAGTGTTGGACCAAGGTGACATGAAATTTATTCTAAAACCTGTGGGTTTCATTTTTGCCTACAAAACATCGTTCTCTGCTTCACATGAAAGAAACTTGCAGTGTAACACATCATCAGGATCTGAAATGCTTGTCACCTGTGGGTACAAGCCCCTTGGTATCCTTAAGGACACAGACCCTTGCCTTATTGGAAACTCCCACAAAACCTACACCGAGGGCTGCCAGACCTTGCCTTGGAGAAGAAACAGAAACACAGCCTGGTGAAGTTCATTGCAAAGGCCAAACCAGCGACTTAGGGAGGGCAGCAGGTTGAAAGTTTTGCCAAAAGTCAAATGTATTATTTGGCTAGTAGTTGTTATGAATGGATGACAAAGGACCCCCTGCACACTACCTGGGTAGAGGTGACCTGTGGCTAAAAAGGTGGATCAGAGGAACTGTGGTTTTCCTGAGCCTTCGAGACCACTGATAGAATTGATTATTGTCTGAAGTGGAGTCAGATTTCTTCAAAGCAAATGAGCTTAATTGGAAAGTAATATTAGACTTCCATGATAGGTGTTCTTGCAATGCCAAACTCAAGACAAGGACTGTGTGTGTGTCTATGTGTCTGTTTGTGTGAATATAGAGAAAAACCTCACAAATATTTTCAGAATATGCTCCATCATTCCTTGGCAAGCTTCAGCTTCTGACAATTTTGCCAGTTTTTTAAAGAAGACTTCAACCTTGCTTGCAAAGTAATTAATTATGTACAGAAAGAAAAGGAAAGAAAAAAAAGAAACCAACCAAAAAAAAAAAAATCACCCACCGAAACCCAAGACCTCAAATGCCATGCTATTTTCCTAATTCTGCGACCATCTGACCGCCAGTGAGCTCACAGCACATCCTGAACTCTGGTCTGAACTGAAGTCGTCGGAGTACATGGTGAGCACATGGGCCAAAGACAGAAGGTACCATATTTTTTTAATCATCAGGGAAAAGACCAATTGCATTCAACTTTCAAAATTGATCATTCTGACATGCTTGGCATACTTAGCAGACAAGACTGAAATAGTTTAGCAAACACGGAATGTCAAAATAAATACTAACCCTTTTCCTGGGCATGACACGCACTAGCGGAGATAGCCCAAGGCCGGCGCTGGGGGCAGAGGCGGATGTGCCAAGAAAGGCTGCTCGATTTCCCTTCTTGATGAAGTGCTCAAGGGCCAGTTTCATGGAAGCCCTTCCCAGAAAGGTCACCGTCCTCTTTGGGGCTGCCTGTAGCCTGAGCTCCTGAGATATTCCCTGGAGAGCCCCGTTAGGAGCCTCCACGGCTCCTGTTTCTTGTTGACCTTCAGGCTTTGCTAGGCGATGTCCAAGAGTGGGTTGTTGCCTCCAGCTCCAGGTTGACAGACTTGCCTGGGAGAGAAGCACTTTGAGGAGCTCTGGTCATTTTCCCAAAGTAGTCACTAACACGATGGAGCAGTCCCTGTGTGCCAGGTACTCCTCCTTATTGCTCCGATAGTCCTTAGGACAATTTGCGAGGTAGCCATTATTACCCCCATTCTGCAGGTGGGGAAACTGAGGCACAAGAGCTGAAGCAGCTTGCCCAGAGTGACATGGTCAATGCCTCATGGAGCCAGGATTTGGAACCCAGGGTGCCAGACGACTCCAGAGCCCTCTTCCCAGTCCTCGCCGATTGTCTATATCCCATGTCCATTTCACCCACGTGTACCAAGCCGCTGACTTCCCTTGCACTTCTGGCTCTGGAAATGAGTGACTTACAGGGGTGCCTGGGTGGCTCAGATGGTTGAGTGTTTGCCTTCAACTCAGGTCATGATCTCCAGGTCCTGGGATCGAGCCCCATCTCGGGCTCCCAGCTCAGCAGGGAGTCTGCTTCTCCCTCTCCCACTCCCCCTGCTTGTGTTCGCTCTCTCTGTGTGTCTCTCTCTCTCAAATAAATAAATAAATCTTAAAAACAAAACAAAACTCCCTGGGCACCTGCATGGCTCAGATGGTTGAGCATCTGACTTCAGCTCAGGTCATGATCTCCATCCAGGTCCTGGGATCGAGTCCCATATTAGACTCCCTGCTCAGTGGAGAGTCTGCTTCTCCCTCTCTCTCTGCTGCTCCCCCTGCTTGTGCTCTCTCTGTCTCTGTCTCTCTCTCAAATGAATAAATGAAATCTTAAAAAAAAAAAAAAAGAGTGACTTACAGATTTTTCAGGATCCAGAACACTCACGTCAGAAAATCTCATGGCCAGCAAGTAGACCGAAGACACATACTGATATCAGAGCATTAAAGTAAAAACATGTAATTTTCAATGTCAAAATAAAGTCCTCTGGTAAAAGTGCCAATTCTCATAAGAATGGCAGACCCGCATGTTCACATCACAGCTGAAATCTCTCACCCAGACTAATTTCTTCCCTGGCATTCCTGCTTTTGCCCTTGTCTACCTATGTGGCCAGAGGGGTTCTGCTGCAATCCAAGCCAGATAATGCACCCATTTTACTCACAGTAAAAGTCAACTTCTTTTCAGTGGCCCACCTGACAGGCCCTGCATTACTTCTCTGTGTCTCCTTTCCCTCTTTTTTATGCTCACTCCTCTGCAGACACACTGGGTGTCAGGAATGCTCCCACCCCAGGGACTTTGCACAGGTTGTTCCCTAGATATCCACATGGTTCAAATATCACCTTCTCGGTGAGGCCTCCTTCTACACGCTTAGGTCTTGAGACCTGCCTCTAGCCTCCAGCCCCCCAGTCCCCCTCATTCTGCTCTGTTTTTCTTTTCTTCATAGCATTTATCACCTGTCATGTTAAAATAATTTGCTAATTTGTTTATAGTACTTATAGTACTGTCTCTCTGCTGGTTGGAATTTAATTCTATGAGGGCAGGATCTTTGTTCTGTTGACGATGGATCCCAATTGCTTAGAACAGTGCCAGGCACCTAGTAGGTGCTCATTAAATGTTTACCACACGTCTGGTTACCTCTGGAGGGAGGGGAGGGGTAAGTAACAAGAAGGGGTGCAAAGGAGACTCCACCTATTGGTCCTTATTTTATTCTTTAAGTTGACAGTGCACTGGTGGTTTTTTTTTTTTTTAAAGATTTTATTTATTTATTTGAGAGAGAGAATGAGAGCGAAAGCACATGAGATGGGGGGAGGGTCAGAGGGAGAAGCAGGGAGCCCCATGCGGGACTCGATCCAGGGACTCCAGGATCATGACCTGAGCCGAAGGCAGTCGCTTAACCAATTGAGCCACCCAGGCGCCCGGTTCTTTTTTTTTTTTTTTTGAAAGAGAGAGTGCACACACGCGTGCGAGCAGGATTGGGGATGGGGAGAGGGAGAGAGAGAATCTTAAGCAGGCTCCATGCCCAGCACAGAGCCAACACGGGGCTCGATCTCACGACCCTAAAATCATGACCTGAGCAGAAATCAAGAGTCCGACGCCCAACTGACTGAGCCCCCCAGGCGCCCCCTTCAGATTCTTTATATTTTTATATCTCTGAAATGTTTCATTTTGAAGAATCAAACAGGGTCAAAAAGGCTTGCGCCCCCTCTGTTTGCCAGGGGAGAGCTGGAAAGAGGAATGCTGTTGCCCGAGCCACCAGGAAGGGTGACGCCAGAACGGGAAAGTGTCGGTTTCAGGAATCTGGCCAAAGACATCAGATGGAGGGCTCCTCTGGGTCGGCATTCACCTGAGCAGGACAGAACTCAGAGCTTGGCTCAGTGACATCCTGTGGCCCCATC